TCTGAGGACATTTAAATAGTTATTTTTCACTGTCTAATGTCATGAGATATTTGAACACTTGTCAATAACACATAACAGTCTAAGATCGGATTTTACATTCAATAGAATTATTGGGTCTGTTAGAGACTCTGTGAACCCAAAGTATAGGCCTATATGAAGGGAAATCTACCCTTGTACTGAGTTACAATCATAGTACATATTTACCACCATTTGAATACCTATTGTTGACGTGTTAAGGTGAATAAATCTGTTAACAGTTATTTTGGCTTATATTTATATCTTGGATTTTTTTCTCAGTAATTCAGCTGTGAAAACTGAGTGGCGCCTGACAAAAGGATAACCCCACTAGTTACCTAAAAAAAGAACTAACTCACGACCTGCTCCCAAACAAACGAGCTGCCGTGCCTATAACAAGTAAAAATCTTTTTCTTTTCCAAAACATCAAAAGAGTTGTTATAATTGTTTATGTTTCATTCGTAAATTACTGAATTCGCTTTTCTGAGCAAATTGGGCTCCTGGAAAGGCTCACCATCATCGAAATTATTCTTGTACTTGATTGAACTTTACAAATCTCTCAACCGTGTCATATCATACTGATTATCTTGTATGATGAGCAGAAGAACGTATGTGAGAAGGAATATATGTATACATAGATCCCGAAAGAAATGCATTGAAATGAACAATGTATAGAAGTATGACATGACATATTTTCCAAATCACCAGTTTAGTTGGGAAGTATATTCTCAATATCATATTCATATTATATACTCGAGGTCACTAGTTTTTGTTATTGAACATTCGACCCAAGTAGACATACATCTATTTCAGCTTCGAAAATAGTAGGGGTTATATACTCCATTCCATCACCTAAGGATTCGATAAATGTATCCTTATGAGTCAACTCAATTTTGATAAATTTTGACTTTATACAGGGCACCCACCATCTGATCATCCTCCATCCTGATCGAGAAACCTTGATGGATTCGAACTTTCCACTCTGTGATTTTCTGCTTCCACTTCCTTAATAAAAAAAAACGCACACATATGTATGAATAGAAGTAAAAAGGTGTTACATTGTGTTGGCCTCTCATTAAATCATACAGTAAATATAATAGCGAGATTATATTTACGAAAACGAACTCTCCTTGGAATGCTCTGAAATGAAGAACAATGTTTGGAATCAGTACCAGACTTCCAGTTCATCACCTTACATATTATATTTTTGTGTATTTGATATACCGGACAAATCCGATTTCAGAATGAACTAGTTTTACCTATATAGGCTAATCCAGTAAATGCGAAGAGCGATTGTATAAACTAGTTTGACTTAGTCTAAACTGTTTTTTCCTGAAATAGATTAATATAACAAGTCGAGCTGATTGTTGAAAAATTCGATGACTACGTTCCCGAATGATCAACCCATAGAGGTTTATGTTCCTTCCTCACAAAATATTAACAAAAAATCGATGACAAGTCAAGGACTCCGAACTTCAGATCTATAAACAACATAAAATGTTTCAGTTTCGAAATGTCTAGCTCATGTGTTGTGCTTGGAATGTTCGGAGTCCTCGACTTGGTATCGATGAGGATGGTACATACACCTCTAAGACTAGATCAGTCGGTAACGTAGTTATTGAATTTTTTATCAATCAGATTCACTTGTCATTAATTCATTTCAGGAAAAACCAGTTCAGCCTAGGATAAAATATTTCATCCTATCGCTCTACTGATATACTGGTTCAGCCTAGGAAGAACTCTAGTTCATACTGAAATCGAGTTTGTCCGGTAACATATTCACACAAGCTGATTTAGCGACACGCTTTCATGTCCTATGAATTGTAAAATGTGAACGACTGATGACAGTCATTTGATCATGAGTAGTCTTGTCTCGAGTCTCGTCTCGCAGCCCCGAGTCTCGTCTTGTCTCGCGTCTCGTACGAGAGTCTCGCAAATGTATCGCTATTTCGTCATGCATAATCTTGTTCCAGTCTAGTACGGAATATTTACCTTCACCGACTTCTTAGGTATAATCTTTGAGTATTCACACTTAATGTAGAAGTAGGAAGAGAAAATTCTAACAAAAATAACATTCTTCATTGAAAAGTAAGTACCATATAGGTACATTCTAAAATCATACATCTAAACAAGAAAAACAACATATCATTATATTATATTCGAAAGTTATAGAATGAAATGAAAAGTGACACGTATATTCTAAACAAATAAACAAAACAAAAACTTTAATCCAACATTATATTCCGCCGTAATAGTCCGTTTTCGTTTCACGCATTACGTCGTTTTACAATAATCATGGATTGTGTTTTTGAAGTATTTATGAATGAAATGTTTCGTCTATCTGTGCTAGATAGTCTGAATTCTTTCTGAATATGTTGTGTTATGAAAGAAAATTCTCAAGTCTGCAGTCGGCACGCAGAAATATTTACCAGCGAGACTCTTGCACGAGACACGAAAAGTCTTGCACAAGACTCGAGACGAGACTAATGAAAGCCTCGTCTCATCTTGTCCGATTCTCGTCTCGAGTGTTGTCTCGAAAACAAGACTCTCGCGGGCACCACTAAGAACACCAATTCCTACCTTATTTCCCTTGATTCTCACGATGTTCTCTGAACATTATAGGATATCCCTCTTCGTGGGAATCAGAACATAAAAAGAAACACATGCGTTAAAATGTGTTGTACAGACATCTACAAGACCATGTTGAAAAGTCCGTTACTCACTTCTTGTACTTGTATGGAGTCGTAATGTTGTCGCTCTGACCAGTGTAATAGTCACGTTAAAGAAACTTGTACTAACTATGAGACGACGTTTCATACCAACTGTCATCTTCGTGTGATTGCAAATAGAGGTTATGTTGGTATATTTTTGTTCAAAACTGATGTAATCTTGAAACTGACTTTTATTCATGAATTGTCTGACAGTATGAAGGCTTCCATCTTTGTGAAAATCTTATTGTGAACTAATGCCCAATTCTCCAATTTTTATCTTTAAGTTGAAATATATTTCCATGTATTCTACACCAGCTGTGCCAACACCTCCATATTTTGTTAGGAATCACACCCCATGGCGATATCAAGACTTTCAGTGATTGATCGATAATGCCCCGTATGTATAATCTGGAAACTTTTCCTTTTACATTTTGGACGAAACTCTTCATTATCTTATATCCTCACTGGAGTTAGCTGATTTGTGATGCTTACTGTTGATTTTTGAGTATTCGAGTAGGTACTTTCTCTGTTTATTCTTTCAGAATCTCTCCAAATGTGCATGTTTGCTTGTTTTGCTTTGGCATAATTATTTTTGTTATGAATTCAGATACATATCCAACAAGAATGGTCACATGGCAGATACATATATTGTGGTCATGACAAGAAAGTTATCATGATCTCAATAAGTGTGGCAAAGGAAGAAGCTTCGATATTGCGCCGTCACTCCCATTGAGTTTATGGAAACTTCAAACGTGAATATCTTCGTGATTGATTCACATTACCCAATCAAACCCAGTATTGATGAAATCGTTTCAATAATCTCTAACCGATTGATGAATAAAACAATTTGTAAACCTATGGTTGATGTCATTTCCAGAAAAACCGAGAGATGGGATGAGTTCACTAAAGTGCCCTCTATAATAAATGCTGTCATTATTAAAAAAAACGCGGATCCAAACCATCAAATTCTGTGGATCATTCAAAAAACCAATATTGGCGGATACTTGATGACGTTACAAGTATCTCACTATAGCAGCTTCACAGCACAGACGCACAGAAGCGATAAATAGGTACTAGATATCCAATCGGAATACCAACTTTACACAATCATCGGCACCCTTCAAGGCAAACGGTGGGAATATACTGGATATCAGGTTCGAACACGAAACTCTTTGATTACTTGGCCCGAAGGGTAGGAGGACGATCCAGTCCTTGGAGTCATCTAATATGGCAAAGGTGCAAAGATTGAGGTTGCTGGGCTGTGTGCACGTGAATATATACCAAAGAAGGAAATATTTGTATTTCATGCATTATGTTGCAAGCATCATCAGTTGCACTAGGCCAGCTGACAATCGATTCACGAAGGATAATTTTATATATGGAGTGAATCATATGCCTTGTAAGGTTGGAAAAATTACTGAATATATAGTAGTACCCTTCGAGCACTTGTGTTACTAAATGGCTCTGAAGACTAGATAGTCCTCCTACCATTCGGGGATTTTGATCTACTCTATATATAGTAATAGTCCTCATGAATAGATTGACAGTTGGCCAAGTGCAACTGATGAAGTTTGGCAAAGGAGAAACAGTCTGTTGGCCCTCCGTTCTGTTGGTTCATACATATCTGATGTCAGATTATTTGATCACAATTCAATGAACGCGAACACCATCACATAATATGCTTGTTCGAAGTTCGACCTCACGTCGAACACTTATGAACCAGCATTTGCACAAGTCTGTTTCAGGTGACTAGTGACATAAGCACATTCCACTGGTCAGTAGCGTATATGAGAATACTAGACGCCAACAATACCAAAAAAATATGAGGCCTAAGTGTGAAATCAATTCTAACTCAATAAAGTAACTGTCATCCCGCTCTACAGGGTATTACAAATTTCATGAGAAAAACACCTGGTACTCATAAATAATAGGTATCTATGCGAATACAGTTTGCCAACGCCCCATGAGTCGAAACCTCTGCGAGGTTAGGAAAGCATACAAAAACAAAAATGTGTCCCTACGAACTCAGCGCTTTGCACTCTCGATCAACAGGCCGCCTATGTGACGAGTGGAGAAATAAGTTGAACGGGCAAAAATGAGGATGTTTCTTGACTAACGCCATCAGCCATTGATCAAGCCAAGGGCCAACAATGCCTACTTCCTGAAGCCTACGGAAATAGTCAAGAATCAACTTCTCTCTGGATCACTGGAAGTTGAATTGTTTTTAAATCGAATCACAGGCAAGAAAATACATAAACACCTGTAGCCATAGGATATTTTTAAAATTTATTTTCAACTTCAGTCATAACTATGGCGATATTCAAATAGTCTTTTTCAATTATTTTTATCCTCATTCATTGTTCAATCTACATCCAGTTTCTTGAAATTTCCATAGAACCCTAATATTTCGTCATTGATGAGAGGTGATGGCCTTTTACTCTCGTCCACCCTCAACTTGCTCAGGACATCGAATCTCTCCTTATAATCTTCCAATTTTTGTTTCCATAACTCTGCAACAAGAATGAACAAATTAAGCAACTGATACATACATATATAATTCCAAACAAATGGAGTAATGATATATTCCGTGTGAGGGTGAAATTTTGACAAGGAGCATATAGAAGCGATTAGGTGGGCTACAGACTATCGTTTTGGTTGCCTTGAATACCAGTGAGTAGTTTATTCCTCAGACGTGCCTTCATCCTGAGTTCTCAGTTTCGTGAGAAGAAATGGAAATAATAGATGAGAAAGTGATAAATAGGCAAGTGGTTACGCGCAACAGATCATTGATATGGAGTAGGAACAATGTAGGTGCCAAAATAGATGGTAATAGTATCAGACGATGGAGCGATCTGACTGAAACTCGAGAAAAGCTGGCATTTCTGGAGAGGTGATTCGTTTGATGGTAGTTTGTGAAGGAATCCCTGATGCCAAACAGGGTCGAATGCTTTCGAAATATCTGACGCCAGAGCAAGAGATTCCCCATGTTTTTCTGAAGAAACATGCCATGTATGAGTTACGTTGGCAAGTAAATCTCTAGTTGATCTTCGATAGCGGAAGCCATATTCTCTACACTACGCAATACTGATTTCGCCACATCCCAAAATGTTACCATATTATAATGTGAATAACTGTTTTCTTTTCTGAACAATTTGAATCTGGATCACACTATTCGCTAGTAGGTACAGTCTTCTAGATAAAATGTGGTACTACTTTGAAACATAAGGGGACCAACATGAAATCTCTACATGGTGTTAACCGACACTGTGCAAAATTTTGGAATATTCAAAAGGATCCCAGAAGAAGAAAACATAATTTTCTTAACTTTGATAACAGAAGCATCAAGATGATCTAATTTCCTTGAGATATTCCGCGAATTCCAAAGAAGGAAAGTTTTGTATTCCGTGCAAGATAATTCATTCTTGATGAAGTTCACTTCAACACGACATGTCGCAGCGACAATAGTTGCTTAGCAAAATGTAATCTGTATTCTACCCTCTTTTGGGAAACAAATTTCAATATGTTTGTACCGTATTCTACCATAGTTTCGTTAGCTGTTAATTGGACCAGAGATATTTTTATGGACGAATTCTCCTGTTAACCTGACGAGTATGCACTGATGATGACTCAACAGTCGAAAGCGCTTTGCTACGAATATAAATTCGAATAAATTATCTTGCACCAAATACAAAACTTTCCTTCTTTGGTATATATACACGTGCACACAGCCCAGCAACCCTCATTCCGCGAATTGTCTTTCTATCTCTTTTATTTACAAAGTGAATTGACCCAAGAGTCAGCTTTGATCTTCACATCATCTTCAAAATGAACCTGATGATATGTCGAAAATCGGTTGACGTGGAAAAAAGTTATGACTGCAAAACCAAAACCAAAGATTTTTTGAGATCACTCTGTAAATAAGAGAGGTAGGAAGACAATTCGCAAAATATCTCAAGGTAATGAAAATCATCTTCATGCCTCTGTTGTCAAAGTTGAGAAAACATTTTTTCCTTCATTTCGATCCTTTTGAATGTTCCGAAATTTTGCACAATGTCGAGAAACACCTTGTAGAGATTTTATGTTATGATCCGCATGTTCCAAAGTAGTACCAAATTATAGCTCTCCGGAATTGGTTGGACTAGCACCTATTTTCTTGTACAATGAGAAAACACCCGACTCATAAGATATGTTTATGACTTGCAATTGAAGAATCGGTGTTCATTTTGTTGTACACTTTTCGAAAATAATGGGTCCATCAGGATCGTCAGCCTCGTTAGGAGAGGTAAATTTTGAGCATAGAACTTTCAACAGGTGGAATATCTGCCAACACTATTCTTTGACAATCTAAAGAGGATTTAGCTGCCGACATCTCTGCGAGAATGTTCGATTTCTGTTGCGATGTTGTTGCTCATGTGATGTAGTCAAGCAAGAACTGAAACAAGTGTAACACAAATATAGCTGTCATTTGGACATTGTGCAGCCAACTTGATCTCTCACAAACGTATACCCATTATAACGGAACATTTGAATAATTGTGAGGTTGAATGATGAAATGGATTGTTCTTATGATGGATATATAAATCATGACGTCATATACGAAACTTCAATCAGAAGTACATATCTCAGTTAAGCAATAAATGTCATATTTCTTACCATGCAACTCTACTAAGCTTCTTTCTTTTCCTCCAAATTCTTCTGGAAGCAACCTATATGGTATGAAATTCGTGATTGTTTCTATCGTCGGGTGGAGATGGATCTGGAATTCAACCCAAAAATAGATAATATACCATGAGTCCACTGATTCAGTTACTTTCATACATATGTATACGTATGTTCTTTGTGCATAGTAAGAATTGAAGAGTCAATTGATTATATTATATGAGTAAAAATCACAACGAGTGCCAAAATCGAACTAAACAATCTGTATAATATCGATGTGCATAAATTCGTTTACAAAAGTTTTCAATCAATAACTCCACCTAGGAGGCCAGGTAGCCCTGCGGACAGAGTGTCCATATTCTAATCCGCATTCGCTTGCCGTTCGTGGGTTCGATTCCCATCGAATGCAGACATTTTTCTGATGGCCCAAGGAAGTGTTTGGGATCACACGTCAAAAGGTCAGGCCCCCGTCATTCCTTGCTCCTACAAGACTCTCGAAGACTTCTGAGTGTTACTTGTTAGGGGGCAACCGAATGACGGATGGAACAATTTTTACAATTGTACAATTTTACAACAAAATTACCTCAATATGTGTGTCAGTTAATAGGTTCAGGTATTGTTTGCGATACAGAACATATATATAGATTTCCATTCAGGAGGATTTGTGAACGAATGCATTCGAAAATGTCTGGCCGAGACGATATACACTGTAAGTCTCCACATATTGAGATATTCAGGGTTCACCGAAATTCCACAGATTCTATATTATGAAAATGGTGGAGGAGAGTTTATGTGAACATAGGCCCAGAAATTACCACCTGAAGAAAGTGAGTACTTCAATACCAACGTAATATGAAGCGCTATCCCCATGCGGATCTATATAAACAGTGACGCCGGAAAATCAATTTCAACAATGCGTGCCCAAATATCACGCATAATATTCTGATAGTGTATGTGATTGACTGAAGATCAATTCTCATAGGTAATTATTCAAATGAATGAGTAAAATATATTTTTTTTTTTTTTCAGTAGATTATGAATTGTGTCAGTAGATCAGTAGATCAATATGCAAATCAGTGAATCTACTGAAGATTCACTAGAACCAGCAACTCTGTTTCAGTTACACAGAGTCGAATGATATATTCAAGCGAATGCCTCAAGCCTGTCTATTGTCTTTTCATCACAGTTTGGAGAATCACTCACGCCAATTATATAGGCATAAACAAACTACACTCTATAGTACTCTAAGTAGCCACCAAACAATAGATGTCCTTTTGCCATAGTGATTCGTGATCTGTGATAGTGCGCAGGCGTACCAGGCACAGGAACATTGGTTTCAAAATGACGTCCATATTTTGTTTGCCGAATGACGAATGACATGTTTTCTTTGTTGTGATGTTTCCCCGTTCAGAAGTGTGATTTTCTCGTTCCGAAGTGGTATGTTTTTTATTTTCCGCCAAGTATCCTATTTTTGAATCAAGAATGGAGTAGTTGATCAACAATATAGTTGACTTTTGAATCGAACGAAAGTGTAGTTTTGAACCTGATAAGTGTGCAGTGCCAGGACCTTTCAGGCATCGTTTTCTGAATTTCAAGAAAAACTAATCAGGTTCCCAGAGCGGATAAAGTGATTGAAGGTCCTGTGATGATGATTGTTCAGTTTCATTTTATCACAGTTTCCATGACCAAATTGAGAAATTATTCATTTAAATCTATTGCTCTCATTATTACTGACCATTTTCGTTCCAGTATCTGTGAATGGTTGAAAGAGAAGAGATGGAAGCATGTAATGCTTATGACATTTTGTCTCCTTCGCGATTAAAAAGGGCTTCTCTCAAGTGAACTATCTGAATACAACATAACATGGATTATTCAAAATTCCCGCTACTCGATATAGTGAGCTACCAAATACCAGAGACGCTGGCGAAATGAAACAAGAGGTTTACATGTGAGTTGGCCATCTATAGACAGTAGTTTTTGTATGCAACTAGGCCACACGCCGGAAAGGTACTCACTACTTCAGTCTTTACCCATTTCTTGAATTTCCCTGTTTTCTTGAATCCTGTTATGTTTTTGATTTGCAACTTTTTCTTGGGGTTTGGATTCGGTTTCATAAATGAATTCAAAGGATTAGGTAGAAAAAAAGGATTAAGTAAGAAGAAGAATAAATCTCTTACCTGACATATGTTTCTTTAATTGTTCCATATCATTTTTGTTATCTTTCATTAATGTCAGTCAAATGTCTTTTGCATAGACATGACGAACAGTTCCAAATTAACCTCAACAAATTGTAGTTTTCCTCGTTTTTCTATTTCACATGGAACGATGAAATAAAAATGTTCCAACTCTCACCAAGAGAAAAAAGAATGGAAAATAAAAAAAAAACTGTATGTTTGAATGAAAATATTCACAAGAATACCACAATCACCTGAATTATGAATTGGTTGAGGTACGTATCTCTCTCTTCTTTTGATTCAGGTCTCATCACATTCACTCTACAATGTAAACCATTATGTTACAGAGCTAAAATAAAAATTTATTAAATTGACAAAGCTCATGGCATGGGCGGAACGTTTTTCTACTTAATTTATTTATGAAACCAAATCCAAACCCCAAGAAAAAGCTGCGAATCGTTAACGTTCTTGTTATGAAAGGAATCTATCTAGTGTATTCATTCCATAATGATTTGAAACCTGACATGAGTGCGGGAATGCGAATGCCGAGGTGAATTTTGAAGCAGCCGACTGCAGTATTGCCTCCTCAACCCTGTGCATCTCAAACGAGTGAAGTCACAACATTTTTGAAACACAACATCCCATTTCAAGGATCGCTACAATTTTAGAAACACCTTGTAGTATACGGATGCTCATACTCACCCTTTCTGCAAGTTTTGGTTTCATTATTTGTTTTGCCATTCTGAGAACAGGATCTGCATAAGACGGGTAGTTGACAAGATGTATCTGATGCACCGAGTTATTGAATACTTTCTGAAATATCACGAGAAGAGACGATCAGCTTCACTCAATATTATATATTATTCGATGTGTACTTCTGAATTCAACTCCAGAGATGAACAGAATTGTATATACCAAAATATATAGTATATAGATGTATCTGATGCATCGAGTTGTTGAATACTTTCTGAGATATTACGAGAAGAGAAGATCAGCTTCTCTCAATATTATACCGGTTGGCTACGGAAGTATTGCCTACGGAATATCTCAGTTATTGTATAAAGTAGGTTTGTGAAATCTGGAGCGTCGATATAATGACATAAGGGCTAGAATTTGAGCATTTGACATGTCGAAGTTAACTTCCGGTCTGACCGGAAGTAACATCAACTTTCTTATTTTAAATGGAAACCCTATATTTTTTTCTTCTCGCTTTATTCAGCATTCAATTCCCTTTCTAATGACATATCACAAGTTGGTATCCAACCAGAAACTAGATCAGAAAAAAATTATTATTGGAAATTCACCGAGTAGGCCGTGGAAGCAAAATGGAAGCCAAAAAATGACTTTCTATTATATCATTAGAAAGGAATGGTTATGCTGAATGGTACAGGCAAGAAAAAGTTGTATGTTCCTATTTAAGTTATGGACCTACAGAGTATTGTTTTTTTTCCCAATTTTTCCAATATTTTTTTTGGCGGCTTTTCATAACGCCGACGAATGAAAATGAAATATCACAGTAGTAGCAACTGTTATCAAGTGACGTATAGTTTCCATAGCCAACTTTTCAATTTTTGGCTTTCATTTTGCTTCCACGGCGTACTCGGTGAATTTCAATAATCATTTTTTTCTGATGTAGTTTCTGGTTAGATACCAACTTGTGATATGTTATTAGAAAGGGAATTGAATGCTGAATAAAGCAAAAAGAAAAAAAAATAGGGTTTCCATTTAAAATAGGAAAGATGATTTTACTTCCGGTTAGACCGGAAGTTAACTTCGACATGTCAATATGCTCAAATTCTAGCCCTTATGTCATTATATCGACGCTCCAAATTTCACGAACCTACTTCATACAATAACTGAGATATTCCGTAGGCAATACTTCCGTAGCCACCCGGTATATCATTCGATATATATCTCTTTATTTAGTTGATGTGTACTTCTGAATTCAACTCCAGAGATGAACAGAATTGTATATACCAAAATATATAGTGTGATAATGATTTCAGAATGAAGATACTAACAGATATTGCAGTGACTTTCCCCTTCTGATAACTATAAGTTCTCGAGGAATGGAAGTGTTGATGATAACGTTATTCTTATTAGAAATATGTTATCAGTGGTGAAAACACTGCGATTTTAATGAAAAAATATCAATTGGACCCCCTTCTCATGCTTTGATGTTGTTTTCCGTACACCGAGAAAAAATTCCAGTTATACAAGTCTCTATCCAAAAATATTCTATCACTGCTAGATGAACCATGCAAACCACGATATGCCATCTGATGAACGTGAAAAGTCAACGTTTTCAACGAAAGACAGGCCACCTTATCAAATCACTGTGTTTGTTTTGAGAAGGTTACCTTATAGATTCGAAATGGAACGAGACTATAGATGGAATTTGGAGTTTGGAAGATAATCATTTCAGTATCATTATAGTTCCATCCCTTCTTTATCATTAACCATCTTTGTGATACTCGTTCACCACAATGAGTCATCTCACTCACTTATGAACACATGTTTTATCTGAATCGTTAGTGGTCTACGGATACCTGATATGTAAGAGCTTATTAGCCTGCAGCAGCTCGTGAACCCTTCCTACAGGGTTATGATTTTTTGATGAAGTGAAGTGATGAAAAGATTTTCTAGAAATTTTAGAAATATATCTGTTCATATACCCCCCAATATAGGATTTATTGAGGAGCAACAGGTTGAACTGCATCAGGGCGTTATAATATTTCCACGATAATTAGGTAATGTATCAGAGATTTTTCCAATTTTGATAACATCTTGGATTTTCAAACTACCCCACTATGCACTATATGTATAGTGGCAAAAGCTTGGATCCACAGTTATATCGGTGATAGGTTGAATCGCGTATACAATATATCCAAAATAAGGATGTCTTCGTATCCTTATCTTGATGGACATGATGCATATATTTCCATTTTATTCATATAATTCCATTTGCTACCCCAAAATCCACAAGAATTCAAGCCAACAGTTCATCAGAAGAAATAAAGGTTCTTCGTTTTCGTTTCGAGATTCGTGAACCCTTATTTACTGACGCCACCGTGTGAATTTTTGGCGATCTGGCTCTTTATTATAAATTTTTCTATGGACGATGCTCTTCTCTGAACTATCAACAATTGTTCCTCCCTTGGCAGTCCCCGCGAAATCAACCCATCGAGTTGAGGCTTCGCACCCCTTCTCTCTCTTCCCAAAGACTCGTTCATACAACGAACAGCAAGGCATACCTATAACCTTCAGAAAATGAACACGAATTCCTACCTTATTTCCCTTGATTCTCACAATGTTCTCTGAACAACAGGATATCCGTTTTCGTGGGATCCAGAACAAAAAATTAATAATCCAAAGTAGTGACAAGAAGAACAAATATTCTAGAGGAGTAAAATCGGGAATAAAATGTGTCGGTTTTTTTTTTCGAGGTATAACCAAATCGGACCTATTAGATAATGTTCCTTATGTGATTTTCCATCATAGTCCAGCTAGACGACATTTTTCTGTGGGGACGAACTTTTTTATTCAAAAAAATACGAAAAAAGTTGGATACTCGAAAATCGTGTTTTTCTAAACATATTATTCAATATTTCGAGAACTACTCGAGATATTGATTTGCTTTTTCGTTTGATCGAAAGGAGATAATCTAGCGCTTCTCATCATGATAATAGAATGATGTAATGAAATCGGGTTTTTTTCTGAATGAGTTGAGAAACTGAAATAGTGAAAACCGTGAGATAAAATTTTCACTGATCGAAAAACTTTTTTATTATTCGAATTCTTTATATACAATCAGCGAAGGAAATTGAGATAATGAGTCAAAAAAGTTTTTAGATTGAAAAAATTCGATACAAATGAAATAGTTTTGACGGTATGATTTTTTAAAAACATGCTAATTCCGCGCCTCCGGTAACTGTTCGCGCTCAGTGCAATACCAGTGCCTACTCCCAATACCCGCTCCATCAGTGCACAATGTTATGTTGAGAAATTGTTATATGATGGTTTCAAGGTCAATGATGCAAGTATAGAGGAGAATAATACTGCATTTCATATTTTTCATAATGGAAACGATTTCATAAGTTACAAAATATAATCGAGTTTAAACCAAACTATCAAACAAAAAATTATATTCATTTTAGTATTCTTCTTCATTTCCTGATTCTGGCCCAACTGGATCCCTGAATGTATTTTGGCAGTATCTACATTTATATTCACTAGAACATTTCAACCCTTTTTTCATGCATATAGGTACACTTATTATTTGTGCAGTTTTATCGGCACAATGAATGACCAGGATTTTTCTTACAGAATTTGGAATAGGTTCCTGCTTAGTAAAAACAGGGTTCCAACAATCGTTTTCGTGTTTCCAACGAAAATTTACCGGATTTTACTGGATCCTGACGACTTAAATTGTTCTGCGAAATTTTCTTCACTATTTTCTTGAATGTCTTAGTGATATAATTGGCAATATATTGACTGTAACAAGATTTGTGATACTTTGCATCATGAGCAATAACCAGAAATGTTCCCAATCATATTTATATCGTTCCGTTTCTTTGCTGAGTCAACTATTTTATCAAAACTTTTTTTTTTCACTTCCTATAATTCGATAGCATTCATTAAAATGGCTATCGTTGAATAAAATCATGCTATATCGTTAAATAAAATCAACTATAAATCATAATTTTGTATTCATCCTAATTCGTGATTTTGGGTTCGGATATTTCTACACATTATAATTCGAAAATAAAAATGTCCTATTTATATCTATATTTTTAGTCAAATCGTCACGACATGATGTATACTCATTTCCCGAATGATTGACATTCAGATCAGTTCATAATAATTGATATTCTACTCATAGTATGCTTTTTTTGATGGCAAATGAATAATGTGATTTTTAAAGTTCGTTCATTTCCAATGGAAATTATTTCGAGATTGTTAAAAAAATATAATATTATTGAATAATGATATATTATTATCCTTATTATTTAACTCTTCAATGATATTGAGATCTCAATGAAATATTTTCGAATGTCCTTATAATTCGAAAACATTTTCACATAGGTACCTGTTTGAATAGATACTAATTTCTGATGTTTCCTCTTTCCGCCCCTATCACGAATGCATGAACCACATTCTTCCAATATCAAAAATGACATTTGCATTCCGAGTTGATGGTCCTGCTTCTATATTTTTCTGGCAACCAGTGAAATTCGGCAATATTTGAATATTGTGCATGCTGGTGTAACTTTTTCTACATTCATTATGGTAAATTTGTTTTTCTTTCCCAGACAGAATCAGCTCTCTTCGCATAAGAATACGGGATCCACAAATATCATTTCTTCTTTCCGCTGCTGATAATAACGAGAGCAGGCCTTGTATTTGTGGATTTTATGTAATATTTTTATCATTATATGATACAAATGAAACACTGCATCTTCAACAGATTCATACTGCCCTACAACCTATAAACACAGTTGAGAGAATGTAATATTCTCTCAACTGTGCTATAACTACGCTCTATAGTCGCGCCAACACGATCTTGTCGCGACAGGCATATTCATGCCATGCTTACCTACATCTTTGAAAAATCATATTTCGAAAACTATACCACATATACAAATTTCTGTTATCTCAAAAACTTTCATGACTATTTGTCAACATTTTATTCGCTGCATATATACAAAAAAAATCAACAAGAAAAAAGTTTGTCGATTGTTGAAAAAAATATAACATGAAAAGTGATATCTGGCGTTCTCAACCAATTCACAAAAAACTGATTGTAATTTATACTGTAATCAGACCATCGTGAGGAGCAGAAAAAAATTCGTTTTTTATTAAAAAAAAAATGATCTCGATACCTATTGTAGTTTTAGAGTTACGAGGAGATATATTTCAAAATCCGTGTTTTAGAAAATTCTTTATTTTTTCAGTTTTTTCTAAATAAAAAAGTTCGTCTCCACTCAAAAATGTCGTCCAATGATATTCTGATAGAAAAATATGTACTTCATTATATTTTGAAGGTCGGAACTGGTTATACCTTGAAAAAATTTTTTTCGAGAACGGAGCGACTTTTTCGGTGGATTTTACTCCACTATTCCGAATTGGAAGCATTTTCATCGTAGGCAAATTGGGATATTGTGTACTGAGTATCGCGCCCTTGTGATGCACTTCAATGCCCTGCTGTTTCAATCTAAAACTCTATTTGGGGGTGAGTATATATATCGAGTTTATAATATGTCACGACGATCTTCCACTCACCAAATGTTTTTAGAAAAAAAAAATTAATCACTCTAATACTGAAATGCCAATCATGTGACGATCAAATTGAAAGCAAATTATATCGATATGAGTATTATTTCATTTTTATAATATCACTATTTGATATTGAAATGCTAATCATTTGACCCTTATATGAGCGTCATTCCATTCTCATATGAGTGTTGTCTCACTAATTTTTTTCTAAATGGTGGATTTGATTCCAATAGAAAGGGAAATATGCTGGCACCTATTCAATTCAGAAATCATCTGAAGGTTATACAGTTCCGTAATACAGCTGATAGATATTTCTCTCGGTGTTCTATAATATAAAAATACTATCAGTCTGTATCTGCATTCCATAGTACGTGAAGGAATAGGAGGAATTCCTATATACGGATTGTTTGTTATTATTATTATTATTATTATTATTATAGTCCAGGAATCAGAAAAATAATAGGTGAATTATAAGTCATATATAGCTAGAAACAGAAATTTCGAACTAGTCAGGACACTTCCAAAAACTTATATAGGAATATTATATTCTCCTTTGAATTTGCAGAAATTTGGACATGGTCCAGCAAGAGGTCTTTGGGTTATGCAGGAGCTAGAAATGACTGGATTCATGAAGAAGAATAACTGAAATGATACTTAGAAAGATAGTAGTTACCTATTATGTCTCAAAATTTCACTGTTTAACTGGATCATACTCATATTAGTCTCTATGAGCGTCATTTCATCAATTTTTAACTATGAAAAAATAGAATTCTCCTATGTGATTCCAATATGAAATTAACTATAACATTAATATAAACATTATATTTATCGTTGGTACGTAGTGTTCTGGAATACAACAGCATAATCTGGTCGCCATTTTATCTTGGTCACAAGGAAAGACTTGAAAGAGTTCAGAATCGTTTTACAAAATTCATAATCTATAAAATAAGAATGTCTTTTCATGGATTTGATGCTACTACGAGGCTCACAATAGTTAACATTCAAACTCTTGAAGACAGGCGCAAACTTGCTCTGATCTTGTTTCTGCACAAAATTTTCAATAACTCCATCGATTGCTCTGATATCCTGAACAAATTGTTCATAAATGCCACTCCTAGGAATACTAGAAATAGGCAGTTTTTCTATTTGCAAAATCACCGAACTAATTATGGCAGCACTGCATTCACATCTAAACTTCAGAAGAATTACTATGATCATTTTGCTTCCCTTGATATTTTCAATATTTCATTGAGTCGCCTCAAATCACAAGCAAATCACAAGCTGCGGTCTGAATTTGAATTAGTACATACATAGTTTTATGTGTTTTTTTTGTATCCTATATTTATATAGTTTTTATGATTTTTAACGTGTTGAATGTTTATTGTTATATAACTTATATTTCATACTTTATGTACCATTTGGAATTATATAATATTCTGTGGTGTACTTTGATGAATAAATAAATGAATAAATAAATAAATAAATAAATAATAATATAGTTTTTTCCACTTTTACATCATATAGAAGCCATTAGCATGATATAATATTCAAATTTATCAGTCTCTTTGGGAGAATTTCACTCTTTTCTGGAGTAATTGCTTTCACAATCCATATGCATATTTTTATTATGATTATTTCATCATATTAAAGATAGTGGAATAACTATGATGAAATGAAAACTGTTTACTTCTAATTGTGCTTGGAGCTTTTCCATAATAACTCTTCCATTCGTGCGTAATATGCTTCTTACAACACATATCACGTAATATATACTATTACTGTCCGAAAATTACCAGATCAAGTTCTTCCTAACGAGATTCATTGATAAAATAATATAAAAGTCGCTTTATCGAAGACACAAACTTCTGACTCGATGAACACACTACACTGATTACTGATTCACTAGTTATTGAACTGATATAATAGTTATTTATGTAATAAGGATCATAAAGACGATCATTATCGTGAATGTTATCGGGCGAGGCGTAGCCGAGTCCGATAACACGGCGTGTGCCATAATGATTGTTTATGATTCGTATTACATACAAAATTTTATCTGATGGCATTTATATCAATACATTTTCGAAAAATTGAAAACTGCATTTTCGACATGTCACAATGACAACTATTTTTAAAGGAGTAAGTATTGTGTAGTTTCAAATATTAGTAGGTGAGTGAGCTGTGCTTCGCCATTATATTAATATTACAAATTGTAGTAATTGTTCTTTTACCATTTATAATAAATAGTTTTGTACATAGTTATGCATTTTGAATAAACTTTTTTGATCAAACCATTACATGTTTTCCTTATAGAATTTCATTATGGTACTTAGTACCATAATGAATTCATTATGGTACTTAGTCCCATAATGAATTCATTATGGTACTCAGTCCCATCATGAGCTTCCTTATGTCATCAAAATTGAGTGACATAACGTTGTCATTATGACATGCCATCAGATAAATATTATTATGAAGATGCTGGTACAGCGAAACACACGTTGAGGCGCTGGAAATTCGGTTTGGTTCAACATTAGCTGTCAAGGTAATAATATAAAATTCTCAGCTCATTTAGTAAAATCAATATCACCTCTAAGACTGTGGTTCCCCTCTTCATCCACATGGGTGTAATTTTGACCATATGTCCTAGTGACATATCCTTAAAATCGTAAATCAGTATTTCGCCAACAAAGTAATCTTCATGGAGTCGTACTTCTAATGAATTGAAGAAGCTGCCGAGAAATTCAGGTACGTTATAATGGGCAGGATCTGTATTTTTTAGCTTGAATACAGTAATACGATATCCATCATCAGTAGACTTCGGAATTGGAAGGAGATATCTGAAAAATTGACAGTTATTCTCATTGCTGCATCAGATTATGTGATTTTATATAGGAGAGGTCTGCCAACAGTAGTCACCCTTTCTCAAATATTAGGGTTTCATGGAAATCAGAAATCTTTGCAGTGCTCAGAATTGGATCAATATAGAAGTTGAAATAGATTTAGAAAAGCGGATTGATCATTGATTGTCATTAGAATTTTTTTGAATTATTGTCAGATTGATGTCAGTAATCTGAATAAAAGTTTTTGATCGTTTATCGATATAATTATTAGTTACAATCTTCTTAGATATTATATTGTGAATTGTAACAGTGGTCCTTCGAGAAGAGATAAGAATCATTAGGAGATATGTTTTTGCCAGAACGTTCGAAAAATTCAAGGATTAGGAGGAGTACAAGGAGCAATTTTGGTATCCCTCCTGCAAGGTATGGAGCTGACGAAGACGTATCGAGAAAAATAACTGGTAGACACCCAGAATCTATTTTATTAGAAGAGAATATTGGAATTGCCCACTCATCTGACGGCTCAGACAAAAGCGATGAGAGATTACGTCTACTTGATGAAAGAGAAAGGGAGATTCAAAGAAAATTACTTTCTCTAGAGTTAGAATCTATCCATCAGGAGAGAGAAACCATAAGGAAATCATCTACCAAAGGTTCCAAGAAGAGTTCTGGAACTACATATAAAACATTTTCGGAGCTATAGAATCTACATCAAGTTACCGAGGTGCTGATTCATACATAGCTGATTGGGTAAATAAGGCAGCAGTGCACAGAAATGAAAAACTTGAGTGGGATAATTTCGACTTTAGGTCAGAAGACAAGGAGAACACTTCTCCTGTATGTGTGAAATCTTTCGCGGAAAAAATTGATTTTGCTCATGAAAATAATATAGCTAGCTCTTCAAATTGCTTTCCTGAAATGCTTAGCAAATGTATGGAGAATCTGAGTTCAAACATTGAGAAATTGGTAACCAAACAGACGTTGAAACCCTTACCAGAATTCAATGGTGATATCCATGAATTCCCATTTTGGCTCAGCGAGTTTCTACGAACCACCTTGGAGAAGAGGATATCAAATTCAGAAAACTTGAATCGCCTCATCAGATGTCTGAAGGGACGAGCCAGAGAATCAGTGAGAGACCTTTTCTGTAGTCCAGATAACGTGGACACCATCGTTGAAACCCTGAAACTGAACTTTGGTAGGGACGATTGGATTATTTTAAGCCAAATGAACAAGGCTAAGAACTGTGCTAACCCACGAGAAGATAAGATTGAGACCTTTATGGATTTTTCAACAATCGTTGCAAATATGGTAGTTGCTATGAGTACCACCCAAAACTCTCACCTGGAGAATCCTGAGCTTTTGTTGAGATTGGAGGAAAAATTACCCAGAATTTCAAGACGATCTTGGGGTCAGATCAAAATTCATAAACAGCAATTGAAAGAAAATGTCAACTTGAAAACCTTTTCTGAATGGCTCAAATCTGAGGTGAACATGTTGATGTCTATTTCGGTACCGAATCAGATATCTTCAAATACCTCGATGATGAAGAAAGAAAAAGTATTTAGTATCCAGAGCAAACCAGTGGATAAAATCTGTGAACTTTGCAAGGAAGAAAACCATCGACTGTACCAATGTAAAATGTTTTTGGAAATGTGTCAAGATGAAAGAAGAAAATATGTTGAAGAAAATCACTTATGCTTCAAGTGTTTTTTATCAGGTCACAATGTTGCTAAATGCTTCAGAAAGATTTTCTGTAATATCGATTCATGCCGTGGAAGACACAACAGACTTCTTCACCCTGTGAATGGAGACGCTGGAGTAATGAGAAATCAAGTCCAGGAACATAACGTAGGGAGTAGGGGTGGGAAAAATTATCGATATATCGATAATTATCGATAATAATTTGGAGAAAAATTATCGATTTATCGATATTATCGATATTATCGATATTATCGATATTATCGATAATTATCGATATTATCGGTAACTTCGATATTATCGATAATATCGATAATATCGATATTATCGATATTATCAATATCTTCGATATTATCGATATTATCGATATTATCGATATTATCGATATTATCGACAGATCATGCCAGAGGTTTTTGTTCCGAGGTCTAGACAGGGATAGGAGCCCAGATATCTACCAAATGCGAGTCATGATCTTTGGCGCAGTCTGTTCACCATTCATTGCACAATTCGTGAAGAACCATAATGGCAGAGAGTTCGAAAATGAGTTTCCAGGAATTCTGAGGAAAATGACTCATCAGCATTATGTCGACGATTTCCTGGACTCGACAGACACTGTAGAAGAAGCTGTACGGACAATTCAAGATATCATTGAAGTCCATCGTCGTGGAGGATTCCAGATGGTGAACTGGCTCAGCAATTCCTAAGATGTACTGAGGTCTCTTCCTCAGGATTATCTGGCTGAAACTATGACTCTAAATTTGGATTCTCGTAATGTTGAGAGAGTTCTGGGCTTACGATGGAACACCAAAGAGGACACCTTGATTTTTGCCATCAGATTCAAAAATATTCCAGAGGAGTTATCCAGAGGGGAGGAAATCCCTACAAAGAGGGAAATTCTCAGAATAATTATGACCATTTTTGACCCCATAGGATTCCTTGCACCACTTATTATCCAAGGTAGACTCATTATGCAAGAATTTTGGAGTAAGAAAATGGATTGGGACATGACTGTTTCTGATAGCATCGGAGAAAAATGGAAATTATGGTTCTCATCGCTGAGAAGAATTGAAGATTTCAAGATCAGTAGATGCTACTTTTCATCATCACCTGGTGAAGTTGAGTTGCACGTTTTTTCAGACGCCAGCAATAGGGCTTTTTGTGCTGTGGCTTATTACTACAGGTCTTCAAGAAACGGGAACGTGGAGACATCCATTGTAGCATCTAAATGCAAACTCGGTCCACTCAACAAAGTCACTTCTATACCTAGAATGGAACTTCAAGGAGCCGTTGTAGCTGCTAGACTAGGTAACTCGATCATGAAGGATTCCATATTCAGCAAGTTTTTTGGTGGACTGACTCTGAAATAGTCTTGAAATGGCTTAGAAATGATTCAAGGCGTTTGAAATCATATGAATCACACAGAATCCAAGGAATAGAAGAACTTTCAGACATCTCAAACTGGAAATGGGTTCCATCTGCTTCAAATCCAGCAGATTTGGCAACAAAGAAAAAGAGAGATGTAAGTTTCATGGATTCTTTATGGTTACAAGGCCCATCCTTTTTGAAGGAGCCTGTAGAACAATGGCCCGCAGAACAGATGAATTGATTGCAAGAACACGTTGCTACTGAAATTGTGGCAGTATTAAGAGGAACTACATTTCCATTGCCAGAAGCCAGCAGATTCTCAAAATGGTTGAAGTTGATTCGTACAATAGCATGGATCTTGAGATTTTGCGAAAATTTGAGGTCATCAGATCTTCGGAGTAAGCAAAAAAGGGAAACAATTTATCATGATTTCAAAAGAAAAAATGTTCGAAAGAAGTTTGATGTAGTTTTGAAGTTCTCTGAGTTGCAACCTGAAGAATTACGTAATGCAGAAAGGCTGTGGGTGAAAAACATGCAAGCAAAATATTTCTCAAGAGAAATAACTTGCATACAGCAGAATGATTACCCTGGTATATCTTCGAAACTGCATGGGTTATCTCCATTTTTAGACAGATTTGGAATTCTGAGAATGAACAGCCGAATTCAGTATGCAGATATTCCCTTTGATTTGAAGAATCCTATCATCTTACCGACAGCGAAAGATGAATTGTCCGTCCAATTGCTCATTCTACACTTCCATGATGAATTGAAACACACAGGACATGAGACTGTGATAAATAATCTGAAGCAAAGATTTTGGATAATCAGAACTCGACAATCTGTAAAGATGGCAGTGAGAAGATGCCAGTTTTGCCAAATAAAAAAATCCAAGGTAGTTCAACCTGAGATGGCACCATTACCAATCTCACGCCTCAAGCCATATACAAGGCCATTCAGTTTTTGTGGCTTAGATTATTTCGGTCCATTGTTGGTGAAAGTGAAGAGAAGTGTGGAGAAAAGGTATGGTGTTATCTTTACGTGTTTCAACACACGAGCAATCCATATCGAATTGGCTAGTTCCCTGACAACGGATTCCGCATTGATGGCCATTCACAGATTTATATCTAGACGTGGACAGCCATTGGAGATTTGTTCTGATAATGGAACAAATTTTGTTGGGGCAGAGAACGAGATGAAACGATGTCTGGAGGAGATGGATCGCGCAAAAATCACCCAAGATTTGACCAGATATAAAATCAAGTGGAAATTTAATACTCCAGCAGCACCCTTTCAAGGAGGTATATGGGAGAGGATGATCCAGAGCGTGAAGAAAGTACTGTATATAATTCTCAAAGAACAGCATCCATCAGAAGAGCTACTTACAACACTGTTGGCCGAAACTGAAAGCATTGTCAACTCTAGACCGATAAGCTTCGTTTCGAGTGAATGTGGTGAACTGAAAGCTCTCACTTCGATGCACTTTCTAATTGGGACAGCCAATACATCGAATGTTTCTGGAGTATTTGGACCTGGTGATATGTACGGCCGCAAGCAATGGAAGATTGCCCAATTGATGGCGGAGCGTTATTGGAAGAGATGGTGTAAGGAGTATGTTCCAGCGCTCAGAAAAAGAACGAAGTGGTACGAGAAAAATAAATCGCTACAAGTAGATGATGTAGTAGCTCTTCCTGACAGTAAGTTCCGAAAGAAATGGACTCTGGGAAGAATCACCAAAGAAATAGCTGGACATGACAATCAAATCCGTTCCGTAGAAATCAAGACTCAAGAGGGCACTTTGGTTAGACCAGTAAATAGTCTTCTTAAGCTGGAGGTTGGAGAATGTTAAATATTGAAATGATTCACCATCTGTATTTTTTTGTTATTGGAACTGAGAGTGATGGATGTCATTAGAATTTTTTTGAATTATTGTCAGATTGATGTCAGTAATCTGAATAAAAGTTTTTGATCGTTTATCGATATAATTATTAGTTACAATCTTCTAAGATATTATATTGTGGATTGTAACATTGATCATGAAGGAAATGCCAGTTGGACGGCTTTTCGAAAATTATTTGGTTTGTGGCCACTGTTCTCGATAAGTTTGGTACAGTGGCCAGAAACGAACGGTACAATGTTTATACCGTCAATACAGGGTGTAACTGAATAAGTGTAAAACATTTAAGGAGGTGATTCCTCATCGAAAAAAAGATAGGATCTTTCATATAAAGAAACTTCATTGGAGCATCCCTTGTTAAGATACAGCCCCTTAAAGGGGGTACATAAAATTTGTATAACAATTTTTTTCACAGCTAGAAATTCCCCGTGTTTTTCTAATGAAGCTTGCCATGAATGGGTGACGTAGGCAAGTAAGAAAGACGTATTGTCTATCATTGATTGACCTCCTTGCATGTTGAGTAGTGGAGGTCCACGTTTACTCTATCGATGGAGATTTTTGTTGACTACAATGTACATGAACATATTTCAACATCTGTTCGCTGAATTTTGCAATTTGTCACCTGATTTCTGATGGTTTTGTACACAACTATAATATTTCCGTATTTCGGGCAGATCTTCTGATATAATTTTTAGCTGAACAAATTGTCAGCAGATGATCATTTCACTTTATTGAGCTACCAAGAACACGAGCATTGAGGAGCTACTTATAGGGAGAGCATAGACTGATTCAATAACATATTTTGTCACATATACACAAAATATATTTTCAATACAACAAACAAATTTGATACTACGACAGCTTCTTTGTTTTTATGGAATTTTGTCATTTCAACAAATTATTCGTTTCCAAAACTCGCTTGTCTATAGAACGGCACAGCTTTGGAAAGAGATGGAAGTATCCTCAAGATTTTATAACCTCCAAAATTTCGAAAAGATTCTCAACACCTACCTCTCCTTCTCCTTTTCTCCTCTTCCTATCCTCCCTAAGTACGCACGATGTTCCTCTAACATAATAAGAATCGCCTCTCGTGCGCTCCAAGAAACAAAGAATAATAGAATCAGTATGATATTTTGTCACAGTGAAAAAACTTTGGTCATAGTAGACTGATATTTTGTTTTGGAAATATGGCATCATTGACGCCGGAACATCTAAATTAATATGGGGGCTCGGTCTCCAAAAATAAACATAAGAATAATATACATATATAAATTAAATATACGGTGAAATAAAGCCAGTGTATCTTCATATAATCATGTGATTTTCACATAACAACATAAAAAAAACAGGAAGTAAATCCTAATCGAAAACGACCTATAAGTAAAATAGGTTTGAGATAATGAAAATAATGTACGGTGAAGTATAGGAAAAGAACATGAAAACTCGTGGTTGATATAAGAATAAATAATCAGGTACTCTACATTAACTATATATAATATATGTATATGTAACAAATAGGATTCAAAATTATTAGTTTTCACATGTACGAAGGTCTGCTGTCTTTGGTTATTTTTCAAAGATAGAATATTCGCTATCTCGTGATTACTAAACTTATGTAAAAAGGAGCTCTCTGTAGTTCAAAACAACACAATCGTTCAGTCTATGCTATGTCATCGTGGACCGTAAATACGTTTTTCTACAAGCGTGCGTGATTCACCCTATACCCGCACGCAATTTAGTTTGGGAAGTGTCATTTTCCCGCAACAGAACGGGAAAATTTTCCCACACTAGTGCGGGAAATTTTTTCCCGCACTAGTGCGGGAAAACAAAGATATGATATAATCGCTAGTAATATAAGTGGTTGGTGATGGAATATAAAAGTTTAAGATTGTTTGTTGCAGTATTAAGTATGAATGTTCAGAATCATCCATCAAATTGCACTATTTATTGTAAAAATTAAGAAATATTGAGAAATAAAAATGGATTATTATAAAAATCCCCCTATAGATTTGGATTGATCTGACGGGAAACGTCAATTTGTCATGCCAATCACATGCCAATCAAACCTCAAATAAGTTTGAAATTGTCGAAGTGACAGACACAACGTTACTGTCATTTTCGATTCAGTGGAAATGCCACAATGTGATCAAAAACTTCTAGCTATAGGGATTTGATACAGATGCGTTAATATCACTAACGAAGTCTTAAGAAAAGTATGAGAAGCTATACACGCGTTTAATTGAATGGTGCAATAATGAAGAAATGAAAAAACCTAATGAAGAATAGGTATTTTTGGCTCATTCCATAGAAGTGTCTGGGACCTAGAGACCAAACTCCTAATGGGCCTGCTGGCTTCCGCAATGAACCAACATAATGCGTCAAACTGTAAGTTCACAATAGCTATTACTAATAATTAATAGATAGAGAATATATATCTCTTGTTAGTTGTTCCTATTTGCTTGAATAATTAATTGAACGATTCAATCAATTTCCTACGCTTGTAGAAAAAATATTGTTCCTAACTCATGCGGAAAGTGTCTTTCTCGCACTCGACTGCTTGCCCGAACTCCGCTTCGCGTCGTTCGTGTCAACGGCAGTCACGTGCGGGAAAGAATCACTTTCCGCACTTGTTAGGAAAATTACTATTTCAACCTTGCCAGCCCCGAAAAACTCCGTTCTGATGTGCAAGTCGTAAAGGGAATAAAAAATAATCGAATAGCTCTAAAACATTCTGGAACTGATTCCTTCAGATGATTATTGATATTGAAATGATTTGCTAAATCTGAAACTGACAGAAATGCTTTGTCCCATGTGCATAGTCGAGGAACATATTTTTATGTAAAATCAACCTATGCAAGTCAAAATCTGTATTGAGTATAATGTATTTCAATAACATCATTCTCATATTTTCTATAATTGAAATGCAATGGTTAAACCTTCAGATTCGAATCGATCATTGAGACGTTGAAAGCACACATCAACTGTTTCACCTTTCACCTCAGTTTTAGAGGAATATTTCTCTTTCGTGGTAAGACCGGGTCATCAATATCATAGTTTTCTTCTTCTTCATTCACAGATGCCCACAACTTCTCAAAACAATTGAGCTGATTCTGAAGAATAGTCATTGTAACTTCTATTTTCTTCAGTGCATCTGACAAATTGAGATAAAATCTTTGGATTTTTGAATAAAAATAGTTATTTATTATACAAGGGAAAAAGTAGTAGATTTTAGCTCCAGGTTGTGTTGCCTCCCGTCACGTAGCGGAGGGAGACATAAAACCGTGAACTAAAATCTAATATTTTTCCCGTGTATAATACACTATTTTTTTCTGTGATAGAAGACAATACTAATCAATATTGAGAAGATATTACATTATTTTGAAATCTGAAAATTATCGACGTGAAATTTTAAGTTTTTAACAGTAGGGACACCTGCGTTGTATGCATCTTTATTATTCTTTTGGAGTAATCAAATATTTGATTTCACTTCTCTTAGTCTAATACTATGATTTCATTTCAAAAAATTGCGAATTTAGTAGTTGTTTAGTAATATACGTAACCGCGAAGTCGAATGGAAGAAAAAAGGACTTGCAGTTCTTTCTCGGAGACGGTATTATTGACTCATTTTTCGGAACTATAGAACAACAAAAGCCATCAACAGTGTATATATATGTGATATATATCCGGGCAAGAAGTACTCACTCTTTTCCCACGGGAAAAAAGTAATTTATGAAAAGTGACATTCAATAACCTGCCAACAGAGATGAAATGCCACACTTTTTTTCCGTCACAGAAAAAATATCAATTATTACATCAAGCAACAAAAAATTCAAAAGAGTTCATTTTCTCCAAGAACCGTAAATAATAACATAATTTGTTCAAAACGAAACATTTTGGCTATCAGACCATGGTAATAGTTTCGCAAACTAGAAATTTACCATGGGACCTCCGCTCTCATATAGCAAATTCTCTAGAGACCGAGCCCCCATTGCCCCATGGTTCCGGCGCTCCTGGCAGTAATTCATTATCATTCGATTCATAGAAAGCATCACCAAAGGCAAAATCAATGAAATTGTATCGAAAACAGATATCTATCGATTGGTATTATGTCAATAATTGGAGATATCAATTTACTCACGCATCATCGATGAATAATTTCATCTTCGGTTGGTGTGGGTGGTTCTTCTCGAATAATTCTGGTATTAGCGACTGCTTGGTATAATACATATCTAATCGTTGTTTGGTACTTTCGATGCTGAACTTATTCATGAAAAGGAAATTTCCGATGAGAATTTCATCTGGAACGAATTTGAGAAAGAAAAGACATCAAGTTATATTCACGATTCAACAAATGAAAATTTATCAAATATCCCGGTGAACATTCACATATACATATTTCAAAATCGTGTATTTCACAATTACTTTTCATTGATTCGGCAATGTCCTCACGGTGAACTGACCTTTATTCGAAACGTTGATAGTACTCTTTGGAATGAACGTTACTCACTTGTTTTTTTTTAAGAGTTTTTCATAATCGCTGGAAGGAAATGAGGAACGTGTAATGAATGTTTTTTAACCACGTCAATCGTCATTTGACAACGTGTTTTCATTCCGTTTACTTTTCATCGACGCTCACATCAAGAGTTCAGTTACAAATACGAGTAGTCGAGAATATTTGAATAAAAATACGTATAGATAGGCACCTCACTGAGAAGAGAGTTGCTCACCTAAGGAAACGAAATTCATGGACAGCATATCAGGTTATAGTAACGTATAATGTTAATTCCCGATGAGAATTCCATCTGAAACGAATTTTAGAAAAAACACATAGTTATAGTCACGATTCAACAAATTGAAATTCATCAAATACCCCGGTGAACATTCACGTATACAATATTTCTATCATATTACGATTTTAACCAAACTTCCCATTTATGACGTTGAAATGAGTTAATTAATTGGTATATAGCAACAGAAATAATATGTGAGAATATTTCAATCATGAATACATCTTTAGAATGATGATGATTCTCAAGATCAGAAACATGGGAATATTATATATGAGTTCACGAATATTGCCTCACCAACGTTTTTTCATCCATTTTACCATATTACCGAAATATCACATTTCTCATATAATGATCTTCAATACATCCATATGGGGATGATAGTCTTCATGATCAAATCGTGACCATCATGAGCAAGACAAACATCTCATGACGTTTCACTGATGTTGAATTTTCGATTGACATGATATATGAGGATGATTTCATCATAACAATAGCTCAAGAACAATAATAATTCTCAAGATGAAATATCTGCATATATATTACATGCATCCAATATACAAAACAATGGTGTCATCATAACTATAGCATTAGACCAATAATAATTCTTTTAGGACTTGATGGTTCAATATGTTTATAGCTGCTGAAATTACACGCGGGATATCGAAAGAACTATTTATTCAATATAGAAAATAACTAAATTAACAACGTGTCAAGGAACAGTTTTTTCTGACATTCGTTTTCAATTCTTGTCAAAAACTTCTCTGGTTACAGAGTGATCTGTGTACACCCACAGCAACCCCCTGCTAATGATATAGTATCACGAAAAACTAACTTGCAAGCGATCGGGACGTCTTGCTTTTCTACCAGCTCTTGTGTGCGTAGTGTTTGGAAGAATTTCATCCGAATCATCTTGTGCCATGTTCTCCGTACTGTTGCCTTCGTGATCAATCATGATATAAGCTGGTTTTATTCTGTCAATAGATACTGTGGTCTCTCTTCCATTGAGAAGAATTTTGAATGATCTCTGATCTCGACTAATTACTTCATAAGGTCCATCATAAGGTGGTTGCAAGGAACTTTTTGGAATATCACATCGAATCAATACATGTGTTGCCGTATCCAAATCTTTGAAAATGAAACAATTCTTTTTTCCATGTCTCTTTCCTTCAACTGGACGTAGGTTTTGAAAATGTGTGAGTAACACTTTGACGAATTCCGTCGCAGTTAAATCGTCTTTTGTTTGACGGCGTGCTACTAGGAACTCTCCTGGAAGTCGTAAGGTTTGTCCGTATACTAGCTCTGCTGAAGTTGCTTTCAAATCTTCTCGCCATGCTGACCTTATACTAAGTAGAACTAGTGGTAGTGCTTCTGCCCAATTCTCGTTTTCGTGGCACCTTATGGCTGCCTTGAGTTGCCTGTGTAACCTCTCTACCATTCCATTGCTAGCAGGATGATAAGCAGTGGTCCGAATATGTTTCGTTCCCATCAACTTGCTCAGCTGTTGAAACAGTTGTGATTCAAATTGACGACCTTGATCTGTGGTGATTCTAAGAGGTGTGCCAAATCGAGAGATCCAGCCTTGTATGAGCGCTGATGCAACAGTCTTTGCCTCGATATTTTCCAGTGGAATAGCTTCAGGCCAACGCGTGAAACGATCAACACACGTTAGAACATATCGAAAACTATGTGAGATTGGTAACGGTCCAACGATGTCGATATGAATGTGTTCAAATCTTGATGTTGGGGGTACAAAAGATCCTATGGGTGCCGAAACATGTCTGGTTATCTTGTTACGCTGACAAAGCATACATGTACGGACCCATTTTCGACAATCAGATTTCATTGATGGCCAGACGAAACGTTCACTGACTAGTTTCACCGATGAGTTAATTCCTGGGTGTGCTAGTTGATGTACTGAATTGAAAACTGATCTGCGGAATGATTTTGTAATGAATGGTCTAGCTATACCAGTAGATACATCACAATGTAGTGAAATATCAGTACCTGGAAGTTGCACTAATTTGATATTCAGGACAGAACTTCTATTGATGTATCCTTTTAATTCGATATCCTCCATCTGAGAAACAGCTAGAGCTCGGAAATCGATTGGTTCCGTCACTTCCTCAATTCGTGAGAGCGTATCTGCGACGACGTTATCTCTTCCTGATATATGGCGAATATCAGTAGTGAATTGGCTAACAAAATCTAAGTATCTAAACTGTCTTGGCGAGCATTTCTCTGGTTTTTGTTTGAACGCGAATATTAACGGCTGATGATCTGTGAAGATTGTAAACAGCCTACCCTCAACCATGTGTCTAAAATGCTTGATGGCTAGGTAAATGCTGAGCAGCTCACGATCATAGGCTCCATATTTACATTGTGCTGCGTTGTTTTTTAGAGAAAAATGCAAGTGGTTGCCAGTCATCACAAATCTTCTGTTGCAACACAGCTCCTACCGAGAAATCAGAAGCATCGGTAATTATTGCTAGTGTCGCTTGCTTTGCAGGATGAGAAAGTAATGTTGCCTCAGCTAGTTGACTTCTACAAACTATGAATGCTTTGTATGCCTGTGACGTCCATGTAAGTGTTTGTTTGCCCTTCATGTTTCCTTGCAATAGGGCATTCAAAGGAGCTTGAAGAAAAGCGGCGTTTGGTAAAAAACGTCGATAAAAATTCAGCATCCCTAGGAAACGTCTGAGATCTTTTGCTGTTTTAGGTTGGGGAAATTCCTGAATAGCCTTAACTTTATCATCCAAAGGTTTTGTTCCTGTCATCGACACACAATAACCTAGAAATTTGGCCTCTGGAACTCCAAAAACACATTTCGATGAGTTGATGACTACTCCATAACTTCGTAGGCGTTTGAAAATTTCTTCCATATGTTGCATATGTTCCTCTTCTGATGATGAAGCAATCAATATATCATCAATGTATGCATACGCATAATCAAAGTCACGGAGAATTTCATCTATAAATCGTTGAAAAGTCTGTGCAGCATTTCTTAAACCGAAAGGCATGTATATGTACTCGTACAAACCGAAAGGTGTGGTTATTGCTGTTTTTGGAATGTCTTCCGGAGCTACAGGTATTTGGTTATAGGCACGAACCAAATCTATCGTGGAGAATATGCATTTACCTTGAAGATTATGTGCAAAATCCTCAATATGAGGTACTGGGTACCTATCTGGAATAGTTCTGTCATTGAGTCGGCGATAATCCCCACATGGCCTCCATTCATCCCCTTTTTTCGGTACCATATGTAGTGGAGATGACCAGTTGCTTTTAGAAGGTCGAATGATGCCCATTTGGAGTAACTTCTTGAATTCTTCTTTAGCAATCGACAATTTATCCGGTGCAAGTCTTCGTGGTTTAGATCCTACAGGAGGTCCAGGAGTCGTTTCAATATGATGAAAAGTTGTATATTTTACACCATCAAAATGACCCATCGGACGTGTGACTTGTGGATAACGTGCCAGTAATTCATGATATTTTGATGATCCAGAAATAGTTTTTATGCTACTATGTCCAAATTGTGCCACTCGTGCACTTACAGTAAAGGATGTCTTGCAATCTACCAATTGACGATTTGCTATGTCTACCAATAAACCGAAATGTGCTAAAAAATCAACACCTATTATTGGCTTAGTAACATCTGCTACAACGAATCGCCACGTAAACTCTCTACGTAAACCAAAATTCAATGCTAAAGTGATGAATCCATATGTAGAGATAGGAGAATTGTTTGCTGCGAAGAGTTCATATGATGATTTTTCGCGTCGACCTCGTACGAAAGAACGTGGATAGACACAAAGATCAGCTCCCGTGTCGATCAAAAATTGTGTTTTCGTATCTTGATCGGTAACAAACAGGCGGCGGGATTCGGGGCAGTGAGTTGAAGCCGCCATCAATGACTGCCCTGATCGTTTTCCTGCGTGAATGCACATGGTGAGGTACACTTCAATGATTTATCACCAAAACGCCAGTGATACCAACAAAGATTGCCTCGTGATCCCCTGCTATGGCTTCGTTCTCGCATTTTCCTACTGTTGATGGATGGGCTCCTATGCGAGCGGCGATTTCGTGATGAATTCATTTCTGCGACGTTTTGTTGAAGGTTGTCAGATAAGACTGTCAAACGAGCACTCATAGCTGCCATACTACTACTGAGTTGTTCGATCACTACTTCCAATTTCTTGGTCCTGTCGCTCTCACCTGATGTTTCTGCTACGGAATGCCGTGGAAGAGCCTCTGCAATAGTATCCGCTAGCTCAGCTACTGTACTGATATCCGATTTTGTTTGGGTAGCTAGAATGGCTTGAATTGATTTCGGAAGACGACCGAGCCACAAAGAACGTACTATGGATTCTGGGACTGCGATTCCAGCTAATCCTTGGAGATGCCGTAAAAATTGCGACGGTTTCCTGTCACCTAACTCCTCATGTTCTAACAACCTTCGCGTTTTTTGTTCCTGAGTTGCACTTAGTCGCCTTATAAGTTCTTTTTTCAGC